AGTCTTCCACCTCTGGGTCCTCCTCCACATCTGGATCTGGTCCCTCCACATCTGGAACTCTGGAGACACCCAGGCGGGCCCGGAGGAGTTTGGGCAGCCCAACATCTGGATCTGGCTCCTCCCCCTCCACATCTGGGTCCGCTCCCACCCCTGAATCAGGCCCTGGAACATCTGGAGTTGGGGGGGAGCTCGGGGCCCCAACATCTGGAGGGGGGAGGAACAGCTGGGTGGCCACACCTGGATCAGAGCCCTCCCCCTCTTCCACATCTGGAGGGGGCAGGAACAGCTGGGTGGCCACATCTGCATCGGAGCCCTCCTCTTCCCCCTCCTCCACATCTGGCTCACTGTCCACCAGCAACAGCCCACGGCGGGTTTTGGGACCCTCAACATCTGGATTTGGGGTCGGAACGTCCACATCTGGAGTTTCGGGGACATTTTGGGTCGTTTTGGGTGGTTTTGGGCTCCCAACATCTGGATGTGGCTCCTCCTCCTCCACATCTGTGTCACTCTCCACCACCAGCATCCCAGGGCCAATTTTGGACCCCTCAACATCTGGATTTGGGGTCTGAACTCCCAAACCTGGAGTTTCAGGGACGTTTTGGGTCATTTTGGGTCTTTTTAGGCTCTCAACATCTGGATGTGGCTCCTCCTCCTCCACATCTGTGTCACTGTCAACCAGGAACATCCCACAGCTGATTTTGGGCCCCTCAACATCTGGATTTGGGGTCTTCCCAACCGGATCTGGAGTTTTGAGGTGTTTTAAGGTCGTTTTGGGTGTTTTGGGGCTCCCAACATCTGGATGTGGCTCCTCCTCCTCCACATCTGTGTCACTGTCCACCACCAGCATCTGACCCCCATTTTTGGGGCCCCCAACATCTGGATTTGGGGTCTGCACCCCCAAACCCGGCGTTTCGGGCACTTTTGGGGCCATTTTGGGTCTTCTGGAGGCCCCAACATCTGGATTTGGGGTCACCACTGCAACATCTGGAGTTTCAGGGAGTTTTAGGGTCATTTTAGGCCTTTTTGGGCTCCCAACATCTGGATTTGGCTCCTCCTCCTCCACATCTGTGTCACTCTCCACCACCAGCATCCCAGGGCCAATTTTGGACCCCTCAACATCTGGATTCGGGGTCTGAACTCCCAAACCTGGAGTTTCAGGGACGTTTTGGGTCATTTTGGGCCTTTTTAGGCTCTCAACATCTGGATGTGGCTCCTCCTCCTCCACATCTGTGTCACTGTCAACCAGGAACATCCCACAGCTGATTTTGGGCCCCTCAACATCTGGATTTGGGGTCTTCCCAACCACATCTGGAGTTTTGAGGTGTTTTAAGGTCGTTTTGGGTGTTTTGGGGCTCCCAACATCTGGATGTGGCTCCTCCTCCTCCACATCTGTCTCACTGCCCACCACCAGCATCTGATGCCCATTTTTGGGCCCCTCAAAATCTGGATTTGGGGTCTTCACGGCCACATCTGGAGTTTTGGGGTGTTTTAGGGTCATTTTGGGTGTTTTGGGGCTCCCAACATCTGGATGTGGCTCCTCCTCTTCCACATCTGTGTCAGTCTCCACCAACAGCATCTGATGCCCATTTTTGGGGCCCCCAACATCTGGATTTGGGGTCTCTGCCACCACAGCTGGAGTTTTGGGGTGTTTTAAGGTCATTTTGGGTGTTTTGGGGCTCCCAACATCTGGATGTGGCTCCTCCTCCTCCACATCTGTGTCACTGTCCACCAGGAACAGCCCCGGGCCGATTTTGGGCCCCCCAACATCTGGATTTGGGGTCTGAACCCCCAAACCCGGAGTTTCAGGAACACTTTGGGTCATTTTGAGTGTTTTCGGGCTCCCAACATCTGGATGTGGCTCCTCCTCCTCCACATCTGTGTCACTGTCCACCAGGAACAGCCCAGGGCTGTTTTTGGGGCCGTCAACATCTGGATTTGGGGTCTCCTCCACCACACCTGGAATTCTGGGGTCTTTTGGGGCCATTTTCGGGCTCCCCACATCTGGATGTGGCTCCTCCTCCTCCACATCTGTGTCACTGTCCACCACCAGCATCTGACCCCCATTTTTGGGCCCCCCAACATCTGGATTCGGGGTCTGAACCCCCAAACCCGGAGTTTCAGGAACACTTTGGGTCATTTTGGGTGTTTTTGGGCTCCCAACATCTGGATTTGACTCCTCCTCTTCCACATCTGTGTCACTGTCCACCAAGAACAGCCCAGGGCCGTTTTTGGGCCCCCCAACATCTGGATTTGAGGTCTTTGCAG